CTAAACTGTTCTCTCTAGACTGATCCAGTAAGGATCATCTCTTATTGATCCAGTGTTACTACGGGAAGAAACCTAATTTATTTATACTAGATAGCACACTCAGTTTCAAATTGTCCTCCATAGAGGTCTAATAAGTTCGTATGTCTAGTTTTATTACAGGAGGAAAACCGAAATACCTGAAGAAAATAATTATGTGGTGTTTGGTATAGAGCTACACTGGAAAGACTCACATGTGACTGAAGTGATTATAATCACACAACTGTATATTGCAGAAATTGAACCACGGTTACAGAAGTAAAATGCTGACTTTGAACAAAGCATGTTTTGGTGGTTTAAACAAGCCTTGCATTATATGGTTGTTTTGTTTTAGGTTTATGCTTACAAGGTCTACGATGCCGTATGGACCGTGGCGAAGGCTTTACACAACATGAAAGTCAATAACGAGACACTCGCAGCACCTAATGTAACGTGTATCCAGTGTGATCAAAACAATATAACAAAGTGGTCTGATGGTAGAACTTTATTTGAAAGAATGAAGGCTGTAAGTTGACTTGTCATGTGGCAAATTGATTGATCTCAATGATCTGCTAATCTGATTTGCAAAACGATACATTATAAAGGGTGGGCCATTGCATATCCTGATTTATACACAGAGTTTATATCAGACGAACTATCTTTTCTTTTACGAGCATTGATTCAAGACCACTCAACAGAATAATGTGGTTGTATTTATTTTTTATCCTTTCTCAACAAGGTGTCTTTCGCTGGCGAGCTTCATCCAGTTTCGTTTACGAATGAAGGCAGCCTGCAGTTTCAAGGATATGACCTGGTTAATCTTGGACATCGTGGCTTTGAGAGGGTAAATGATGAATTAAACTAAACTAACATAATTTGTACCTCTCCCTAGAGGTCCAGTAAGGATCATCTCTTATTGATCCAGTGTTACTACAGGAGGAAACCTAAACTAAACTAACTTTATTTATACTGGATACCTCTATCAGTTGTAAACTGTTCTTCCTAGAGGTCCAGTAAGGACCACCATCTCTTATTGATCCAGTGTTACTACAGGAGGAAACTTAGAGTACCGGGAGAGAACTTGCAATGTTTGGAGACAAAGTGAATTTTTAATGATAATTCTTTGCTAATGTATTCTTGAAATTTCAGGTTGGTTATTGGGACAGTTCAACTGGTTTAACGGTGAATGTATCTGATATCAGCTGGCTAGGAGAGGCTGATGCCGCACCAGAAGCTTCAAGACATTCAATGAAAAATAAAACTTTCCAGATAGTTACGATTCAGGTTAATTAATCTTACGTCCAATGGCTCTAAATTGTTCTTCCTAAAGGTCCAGCAAGGGAATCTCTTATAGACAAATTTAGCTAACGTGATTCACAACTTTGGATAATTTGTGTGCACAGTTACTACCATTGTTCCAATTGCTAGCAAAAATGTGAACAAGCGTTAGCTAAATTTGTTTATTGGTCCCGTGTTGACACAGAAGGAAGCGTAGTTTAAACCTAGAGAAACCTTAGTTTTCTTCCTGTGGTAATATCGGGAATATGATCGCTAGAAAGAATAGTTTAAAACTGAGCTATTCAGAAGAAATAAAGTTGAAGTCTAAAATCTTGATACAAGTGTTAAATTTATTTTTATTTTATCACAGGAAGCTCCGTTTTCGATGAAGAAATATGATAACCACACTGGCAACGCGGCGTGGGAAGGGTTTTGTATGGATATGTTGACAGAGCTTGCAGAGAGACTGGAGTTTAACTACGTTCTTCACGGCTCTTTTGATGGAAACTTTGGTGGCAAGTCTGCTGAGACTCAGGAGTGGAATGGCATGGTCAGAGAGATCGTTGATGGGGTTAGTTGACATGAGATTTAGGGTGGAGGAGTTTGCCGGTCTGGAACGGCAGGAAGGAGGGAGAAAGAGGGAAAGGCAGAGAAGAAGAAGGGGAGGCTGGAGAGGGAGGGAGGAATGAAGTAGGAGAGAGGGGGAGGCAGAAGGAGGGAAGGAAGGGGGAGGGAGATTGGAGGGACGGAGGATGGGGAAGGGAAGAGAGGAGAGAGGGAAAAGGAACGAGGAGGGAGGGTGGGGGGAGGGGGGGTAGAAGGGAGAAAGGAAGGAAGGAGGGAGGGAGAGAAGAGAGGAAGTGAGAGAGGGTGATGGGGTGGGAGAAGAGAAGAAAGAAGAAAGGGAGAGAGAGAGGGGGAAATGAATGGAGGCAAGGAGTGAGGAAGAAAGAAACGACTAGAGGGGGAAAGAAGGAAGGAAAGACGACAGCAAGCAGGACGAAATGACGTATTAAATCCTATAAGAAGAACCTAGAAATTATCTATGCAAAAGAGAACTAGATTTCGAATGTGAACAACGTCTTCAAAACCTTGCGGTGAATAAAGATTGTAAATAAATAAATTCAAGAAACAGCATAATCACGCTCATAAGCGACTTTATAAGTATTCCAACAAGATCAACGTTTTTTTCTTAACAGAAAGCTGACATGGCTGTGGCTGCGTTTACAATCAGTTCAATACGACAAGAAGTGATCGACTTCAGCATACCTTACATTGACCTTGGTCTTACAGTCATGATGAAGAAGAAAGAAAGTGAGAAAGGACTTCTGGCCTTTATGGATCCCTTCACAAACGATGTTTGGTTTCTGTTGTTCTGTAGTACCATGTATGTAGGTCTGTTGCTCACACTCTGCAGCAAGTTAAGCCCCTATGGATTCTATGGTCAGGTCGTTCAAGCAAATGAAAACGTGTTAGGTAAGCTTTGCTGTTTATTTGCCACCAAATGCAAGTTGGTTATTGTTCTAAAACTTATTCGGCAAAATATAAAATATGATTTTGGTCTTCGTAATAAAATAAATGAGTTGAGGAAAGCCATATTTAAGTCACCTCATCGCGCTTTCAACATCATCTCAAACGTAATTCAGCTGCAAATTGTTAAATAATTGTCCTTATTCAGGTGAAGATGCAATGGATGATCTTGAAGAAAACCAAGAAAACATGAATCTGGACGAATCTACTTTCTTCTCCATGGGATCTCTTCTCGGCCAGGGCACAGATAACCAACCCAAAGCTATTTCAGGTTAGGGGATTCCAGATTTTCATGTCAACGCTTCATGCTTCCACAACATAAACTTCCGTTTTTTTGCCACAACTCTGGAGCTTTGGTGCCACAGTGGTTGGCGCATGCGCCTTTCATCTCTGTGACTAGGTTTGGTTCCTACAATATTCGCTTACCTGATTATAATTTCACCTCAGTCACGTGTGAGAAAAGTGCTTCAAGATTAATTTTACCAAACACTACAGCTTTTCTCTAGGTACTCTGGTTTCCTCCTGTAGTAACGCAACCATTAAGGCCGCGTTTACACTATGACGCTACAGCAAATTTACCGTGGCGTAGTGATTTGCATTCGGAGTGCCAAAAGTAGTGGTCCGTAGTTAATAAGCTACGGCAAACCACTCCGTTATAGTGTAAACACAATACTAAGAAACGTAGTGAATTTTTAACGAAATTAATTTGTATTCAGAGTGGCAAATGTAGTGGGCCGTAGTTAGTACGTTACGGCAAACCACTCCGTTATAGTGTAAACACAATATAGTCTCAATACTATAGAAACATAATAAATTTGTGAGTGTTAGCCGTAGCGTCATAGTGTAAACGCGGCCTAAGAAGTATGGAGGTAGCCTCCGAGTACATCCAGAAGCAATAGCTCTATCCAGTATAAATAAAGTGAGTTTAGCTTAATTTTCATCACCAACTATCTTTATTTTAGGCAAAGTTATAGCGGCGGTGTGGTGGATGACAGGCACGATATTTGTAGCGACATACACAGCCAACCTCGCGGCATTCTTGACCATCAGTAAATCTGGAATCAATATCCGCTCTCTGGAGGACTTGGTGAACCAAAATGAGATCAAGTATGGGACAGTCCAGTCATCTCAACCAAGTCAGTTTTTTGAACAATCTAACATACCGCTGTACCAGAAAATGTGGTCGCATATGCAATCGGCTGATACTCTGGTGGTAGGTTGCTTGCAATGTACTGGGGCCAGTTGTTCAAAGCTGGGTTAGCGCTAACCCTGGGTTAAAAGTTAACCTGCTGTTTTAGTTTGTGTATTTCTACACGTCTGTTTATTTCAAAACTTCAGAGAAGAAAACTCCTATCGATCCAGACAAGATCTCTGAAGAAATATTTCCAAATTTATAGACAAGCTGTGAGGAAGTTTGCTTGGAATTTTAGGTTAACCTGAACAACCGGCCCAGTTGTCTGATTATAATTAATTTGAAATCAGTCCCATGTTGGTAGGATACTTTCACAGATATTTTCTTTGTATTCCAGTTGGCTCCTTTAATAACACTGGACCAGTAAGGAATGTGCCTTACTACAAGTCTAGAGCAGATTAGGACTGATAAAACTATGTATGGTATTAAATAAAGTTGGTTTATTTTAAGTTTACTCCTATGGTAACAGTGGATCAATAAGAGATGATCCTTACTTGATCTTTGGGAAAAACAGTTTAGAACTGATAGCGCTATCCAGTAGAAATAAAGTTAGTTTAGTTTAGGTTTCCTCCTGTAGTAACACTGGATCAATAAGACATGATCCTTGCTGGATCTCTGCGAAAAACAGTTTAAAATTTATAGCGCTAACTAGTATAAATAAAATTAATTTAGGTTTCTTCCTGTAGTAACACAGGACCTTTGCTCTTTTTCAGGAATCATCATCTGTCGCATTTGAAAAAGTTCAAAAAGGTGACTACGCTTTCGTCTGGGATTCGGCAATTCTTGACTATGCGATAAACCAGAAACCTTGCAATACATTTATTCTGAACGATCTGTTCTCTCCTCTTGGCTACGGCATCGGCTTGCCTTTGAACTCGCCTTACAAGGATGTTATCTCTGAGGAGATATTGAAACTACGCGAGAGTGGATTCTTGGATAAATTGAAGAATGAATGGTTTGTACATAAAGGTAAATACGATACATTTGTTACGCATGAACAGGCATTCACGAACCCACCAATTAAACTCTATGATCTGAAAAACATATCTCAAACGTGGTGGTTCAGTGTAGGTAGTATTCTACAATAAGTTTCTGTGGTTTGTGTCTGAACTGCCTGAAAAAGATATCTCAAACGTGGTGGTCCAGTGTAGGTAGTATTCTACAATAAGCTGTCGTGGTTTGTGTCTGAATTACATGAAAAAGATATCTCAAACGTGGTGGTTCAGTGTAGGTAGTATTCTACAATAAGTTGCTGTGGTTTGTGTCTGAACTACCTGAAAAAGATATCTCAAACGTGGTGGTCCAGTGTAGGTAGTATTCTGCAATAAGTTGCTGTGGTTTGTGTCTGAACTACCTGAAAAAGATATCTCAAACGTGGTGGTCCAGTATAGGTAGTATTCTACAATAAGCTGCCGTGGTTTGTGTCTGAACTACTTCGAAAAAATTGAAAACATCTCAACAACTGGGGCAAAATCTTCCTTCAGGAAGTCACCATCCACCGAGAAACGTCTAACGCCTGTATTCTAAAAGCTCACTCACACTCAATGAGTGGAGGTTCAATCTGAGCTTCCCTTGAGTGTCAATGCTGTTTTTGAATAGCTGGAGGGTGAGTAGTCGCATAGTAAGGTACGACACTAACCCTCCAGCTATTCAAAAACAGCATTGACACTCAAGGGAAGCTTAGATTGAACCTCCACTCTTTGAGTGTGAGTGAGCTTTTAGAATACAGGCGTAAGTGTTTTTAATCTTTTCAGGTAGTTCAAGCACAAACCACGACAACGGACAATACTGACAATGTGTGTGGTAGTTGATGGAATTGTTAATTCTCTACACATTTTCTTCTTAAATTAGGTGTATGTGGACAGAGCAAAGTGAAGACACCATCAACAATGGTGACGGTGGAAATTAAAGATGTTCTTGGCGTGTACATGTTGGTTGGTGGAGGGGTTGTTCTCGGGTTTATCTTTCTCTTGATTGAGTGTCTTTACTTTACTAGAAGATTGGTCAAACATCCTAATACGGTAAGCTGTAGTACCGCTCAGAGACGGCCTAGGAATATCGCAGTTAGTATGTGCCTCGTAGCCTTGGATCAATTGCGGTCGACACCGCAACGAAACCGCAGCATAGCCACAACTAAACCGTGACCGAAACGCGACAAGACTAAATTACAGCGTAATTAAGAACTTGACTGCATCCGAGCCACAGAATAGAGACAAACAAAAGCCCGACTTCTTGGTTTTTTCCTTTCATTTTGGCGTAACCGCCCATGGTCCTAGCCAATGCTCTTATGTTCAAAGATGCTGTACAGTCCGATCTGCGCATGTGCAAGAAGGAGCCCTCGTTTTATTATACAAACAGTCTATTTAGGTTTTTATTTCATTTTATGTTCTTGCAAAGCTTGATTGTTGTGTCTTGATAATTTATCATACTCTAGAATCATGAAAATATAAATGGCTGTCGAATAGAATTCAATATTTTGGATACTGAAATGTAAACAATGCCTTTGTTTACATACGGACTGTACCGCATCTTTAAAGAGAGGTTCAACGTCGAATTTTGATTATGGTATCCAGTATCTGATTTCCTTTCCATTCCACTGTTGTGCAAAATTTTACTTTTATTATAGGAATATCCGACATACAAGCAAGCGTTTAAAGCAAGATTGAAGTTAATCTGGGCTGATATGAAGCTACGTTGGATCTCCACAAGAACCAAGGCAAATAAATGTTAGATTTCAACGACTTTTGTGCATTTCATTTATAGCCACTTGCACTGCCATACTGCAATACTGTTGCTTGTAACTGTTTATAAACTGGACCAACTTTGTAAAAATATAAAATAAACTTATAAATTCCTTGTAATTTTGCATGCTGGTAAATATGTAATTGTTTTTGTGGAAATAAATGTGAAAGTAAACCAATAAACGTGCTGTTTGTGCAGAAACGGGTGAATCAAGTTAAGTTGAAATAAAATAAACTTGCAACCACATCTAGCTATAATTCTCATAGTTCGTCCTAATCTTCTTGTAAACTTTCTCAGTTTATTTGTTGCTACACTTAATTAAACGATAAATTTTAAACTTCGTCATAATCATCATGCTAATGTTAATCCTCATAATTCTAACTCTAATCTAACTCTAAAAGTAAACTAAATCAACTGAAATCGACGGCGTGCGATATTTTGCAATGAGCTGATTCTGATTTAATACCGTCCTTTCCGTTTTTCTCAAGGACAAACAATCGCAGATGAAAGCGCTGTTTAGGCTCAAGCTAAACTTAAAACTCAGCATCATTTCACTGTTTTGTTGAACTAATTGCTAAATTGCACCTGTCGAATTCTCGTAAAAACATGAGAAGTGTTTCGTGCAACGTTTTTGTCTGCGTCTGTTCATTATTAGATTCAAACGACGGCAGAGTAACTACGCAGCAAACCACGTGAGGAAACTAACCAATGAGATACGAGCATCATGCTGGAGGGAATTTCAAAATGGCGTCCTGTCAAAGAGCGAAAAAATCTTTAAACTTTTCATTTTATTCAATTCTTTTATAGTTGGTCGACTTGACGACTTTCTTATGAAATTGGATATATTCTCTGAAATTCAACGAAACGAAGTAAAATTTAAAGGTTAGTAGATGAATTTGTACACCACAATGCAGTGTGAATAATATATTTAGTTTCCAAAGTTGAATTTAATATAACGCGTTCATTATTTACAAATACAATACGTTTATAAACAATTTATAAAAAAAAACAAAGTTTGTACTTTCACAATATTGACAAATTGTATCTGAACTACACCTGCAGACGATGGTTCGACTTGAAAAGGTTAAATTGTTATTAATCTTTTTCAAAGAGTTCGGACACTAGGGTCATTCCATTTAATATCCACACACCCCTATGGGTGAGGTCAGTAAATTTTAACCCCTGAGGAAAAAATATCAAAGTGCCGACACAAAAACCCCCTCAGAAATTTGTAAATTTTCCCCTTACCCCTCAGAAAAATCGCAGAGATCAAAGGATGCCGACAGGCTTAAAATCTCCCTTTCAATTCAGAAATATTCGTCCATAGGGGGGGAGGGGGGGGGGATGGACATTAAATGGAATGGCCCCTAGTCCCGCCAACTTTATATTGTGGAATACTGCCTACATTGAACCCTTATCTTTGAGTTAATAATGCTGAGCTTACAATATGCAATAATTTCATTATATTTACATTTGAAATGAGATAACAATACATTTTCCTTGATCATGTAGCAGCCTGTGTGACAGACTTTACTTATTTATTAAGGTCTGTGACACACGCAGATTTGGTAGTTATCAGCGTGAGGAAATAATATGAACGTCAAGTTCACTGAAATACCCCAATACAAAAAGGAGTCAAGCTATGCTTAAAATCCCAGATTTATATTTAATCTGTGCTTAAAATATATCCCCTTGTTTCCAGAGATGTGTCTATTTTTACCGATATGACGAATATAGTTCAAATGACGTCATTGTAGGAGGCGATCGTGTATTTCCTCGTAGGTAGAGAGTGTCCATTCCCCGGGGTTCATTCTCCATTGTTGAACAATGTCCCTGGTAGGGCCAGAGTGAAGCGCCATGTACTGTGGGTGTCATATACGCTGTGGGGGTTAGTATTGCCGGGGGTCCACTGCCCGGGACGCTGAGGAAATACCCGGGGTTTGGGTACGAGAGACTGGGTCGCGGTGCGATCGGAAGTTGCAGAGTCTTGTCGGAATCCAGTCGGATCTTCTTCGTATGTAGTCGTGCTGGGTTCTGAATTTTGCGCCACTTCGCTCTGCGGTTCTGAAACCAGACCTATAGTTTTAAAGAGAATGTTTTTTTTAAAGAGGATGAAGTTGTCTGTTTGGTTCTGCTGGTGTGATATTAGGTTACCATTGATTACTTTGTATAATGTCGTTTGGCGAAATGATGAGTGCGTCAAAGGCGATGCTTCATAATTTCAGTGTTGTATAAATGAGTTGAAAGAAGAAGGGCAAAGGAGTACCTTCCTTCTGAGTCTCTGGCGTTGATCAGGCGTCTCTGCGCAAGAATGGGTGAAATTGTTTCTGTATCGGGCGAAAAATCCATTGTAAAATGATGCTTGTGATGTTACTCTGAGTGTATATTGGCAGAGCATTGAGGCTAGTATTCCAAAGATCGTAGGTTCGATTCCCACCGTGGTCAGGCATAATTTTCAAGCTTGCCCGGTGTGGATATACACTCAGAGTAACATCACAAGCATCATATTCACCTGAGTACATTACAGCAACACAGAAAAAAATTCACAATTGTAAAATGTTTTATTTTGAACAAGATAGGTTTGACTTTGCGTCACGTAAGAATCACTGCATAAAATTCAGATTGCAAATTACTTCAAGATAGCGGACGACAGACTTGAAAACACAAACTTAATTTTCACGTCAAATGACTAATGTCGCGTTTAGACCACGCGCTTATCAGTTTTTGTTGGAATATGGATTTTGTTCACCAGGGCAAAAATTTTTAAAAAATGTCAAAATATGTAATATCACAAGCACAGTAACACGTGGCGTGACTTTATCATCTCCCACATTTTCTATTTTTGGGTCACGGAAAATAAACACTAATACTTTCTAAAATATGGTCGGAAAAACACATGAAACTGTATTTTTCTGGTTTTTAAAAATACAAGGTCGGAAACTCCGTAATCCAATAAAAAAGCGTGGCCTTGAATCGTATAAGGAAGCCTTATTTCTTTAAATCTTTTAGTTTAAATGTTTAATTGAGAAATGGCATAAAGCAATTTTTGATTCGTGAGAGTCACGACCTAGATCAGTGCCCACGACTGGGTTCGAATATTTTGCTTTGTTTGTTCAGTATCCGGATTTTCAATCTAACATGGCCTTCTTGTTTCCTGTGTATCAGTGTGTGAAACCACAAGAAACCACAGCCAGAAATTTCAGCGCATTAAAATTCAACGTTTGACGTAAATGGCTTAGTATCTGGATATTAATAGCGCTGTTATAGTAGCTAGCTACCTTCCTTGGCAAATATACTACCTACACTGAGACGTTTGAGATATCAGAGAGAAGGGAGTAAATATAGACATTACAAACACAAACTGCATCCAAGCAATCAAAGAACATAAACACGTAGGTTTGTTACGAGTTGATAATTATGGAACTCATCGCAGAGATAACAATTTTACCAGCTGCCATTCAAAGCCTCATTGTCCAAACCCAGCGAGAAGCATCTTACTTTTTAATCTTTCTATTAAAATCAATTTTAAAGTTGTTTTTGATTTTTCATTTATAATACGCCGAGCAATAATCGCTTCCTCAAACAAAATAATGTTAAAATATAATTAGCGTGTTCGTTGTTCTGAACTCTAGCTCTAAAATGGGATAAAGAATTAATTGATGGGGGGAATATTTTGATGAGGATCTTAAATCGAATTTTCGATCGAGGATTGCAATGCACGCCCACCAACTGCGAAAAACAACGCTACATTAAATTGTTCTTTCATTTGATATCCAAAATAAAAATTACTATGCTAAATATATTAATTTCAGCTCGCAGTATAGATAAATATTTTTATTATATTCCATATTTGAGGTATAATTATACTAGATTTGTGTAGTTCTGTTTCCTTGTTTGATATGAAAATTTTTACCAAATTGTTATTGTAACCAAAAATCGATAATATATTAAATCTTAAGTGCACTTTCATGTTATTTTTGCTTTGTTTTAATAAATATATTTTAATTTTTAAATTGTCATGGTCTTTGCTTAAGATAAACAATAAATACTATTCAACATGATTATGAAAACGTTTTAAAATGATTATTTCATTTTTCGACCTTTATCTTCAGTGGGAGAGTGCTTTCAGATTTGCAGACATTTGCGTTTGTATAAAGAGAAAACGTATATACTTCAAAACATAGAACAAGGTTGCTCTCTATTAAATCATTTCTTATATATAAGATAGTGTGGATCTTAAAAACTATTTCGTTCCAGAATAGAGTGCTTGGTTTTGACATTCCAAATTGGATTCAAAAATAGCAGGTCGTTTTAGAAGACTATTGTCGCACTAAACAAAATAATAGAAATTTGAACTTTCATGAGCAAGATCCTTGGACACCTAACACCAGGCCAAGGTCAGACCCTAACACCAGGCCAAGCTTCGACGGCCGTCAGAACCTTTCACCCTGAGATTCTCGTCCCGGACGTAAATTCCTGAAAGAAGAATGAACGAACGCTCTCCCGAAAGTCCTGAACTTTCTCCGGGAACTCCTCCGGTTTCCTTCTAATGCAGGGAGTGTAGTCAGGATGACGATACATATATAGCGTATACACATCTTTTACAAGAAGAACATAAACAAACACAAAAAATCCCGGAGTATTTTGACTCGAAAATGTGAGTGAAGCAATGCACGGCGAGTCAAAATTTGAGTAAAAAATTTCATTTCAGTACAAATTCACAAAATTTCATTTCAGTAAAATTGCACAAAATTTTGTTTTAAATTTACTCGCTTTACTAAAAAAATGAGTAAATCCGCTCATATGAAATCTGAGTAATTCTACATATGGGTGAATTATTTCACTGGCGTTTTTCTTAATTAACTTTTTTCCATGTATAGCTCACCTGGATCCTTGCTTCACTGATATTGATTTTCGCTGCCAATTCTTCCCGCAGTGCGATGTCAGGATAATGTTTCTTTTCAAACACCTTCTCAAGTTCTTCCAGTTGGCTCTTAGTAAAGGTTGTTCTGTTTCTTCTTTGTTTTCTACGAATGGCAGGATTGTCGTCGGACAAACATGGCGAGGTCTGGTAGGGGCGGTAGAGAACGCGTGTTAGGTGCTCTAGAATATAAGAATAAGTCTTGTTAAAGAAATGAAATAGTCTAACTCTGTTTTTACTGCATAGTTCTATCAATTCTACAAGCTATCCTTTCTGTAAAGAGATCCGGTAAGAGAGTGTGTACAGTAATCGACCGAACACTGCAGGTTGTTCTCTATAGATACTGAGATTTCCCCCTAGCTGTAGTAACACTGGATCAATAAGAGATGATCCTTACTGGACCTCTAGGAAGAACAGTTTAGAACTGGTAGAGCTATCCAGTATAAATAAAGTTAGTTTAGTTTAGGTTTCCTCCTGCAGTAACACTGGATCAATAAGAGATGATCCTTACTGGACCTCTAGGGAGAACAGTTTAGAACTGATAGAGCTATCCAGTATAAATAAAGTTAATTTAGTTTAGGTTTCCTCCTGTAGTATAACACTGGATCAATAAGAGATGACTCTTACTGGACCTCTAGGCAGAACAGTTTAGAACTGATAGAGCTATCCAGTATAAATAAAGTTAGTTTAGTTTAGATTTCCTCCTGTAGTAACACTGGATCAATAGGAGATGATCCTCACTGGACCTCTAGGAAGAACAGTTTAGAACTGATAAAGTAATTCAGATAAAAAAGTTAGTTTAGTTTAGGTTTCCTCCTGTAGTAACACTGGATCAATAGAGATGGTCCTTACTGGACCTCTAGGAAGAACAGTTTAGAACTGATAGAGCTATCCAGTATAAATAAAGTTAGTTTAGTTTGGGTTTCCTCCTGTAGTAACACTGGATCAATAAGAGATGATCCTTTACTGTACCTCTAGTAAGAACAGTTTAGAACTGTTAGAACTATCATGCAATATAAATAAAGTTAGTTTAGTTTAGGTTTCCTCCTGAAGTAACACTGGATCAATAAGAGATGACATCCCTTACTGTACCTCCAGAAAGAACAGTTTAGAACTGATAGAGCTATGCAGTGTAAATAAAGTTAGTTTAGTTTAGGTTTCCTCCTGTAGTAACACTGGATCAAAGAGATGTCATTTACTGGATTTTTAGGAAGAACAGTTTATAGAACTGATAAAGCTATGCTGAATTAGTTCTAAAAGAGCTAGAGGAGTAGAGGTTAGATTTCCTCTTTACTGGATCTCTAGGAAGAATTAATATAGTCTAACTTATCCAGATTAAATAAAGTTGAGAGATGATGCTCTTTCCTATTAATCTTCGTATCTTCACTAACGTTTGGAGACATTATCGTGCAGAACCGACCGGATGTTATTTTTTCTTAACTATGAAGATCTAAAACCAAAATTTTGGATCTATCCGTGACGATGCATTTTGGCTTTTCATGTATAGTCTGAGTGTTGTCATGGCTTTTGGTATAGTAACTATGCGAAAGAAATGTAGAGAAAACGTCCACACATTTCGAGCGCGGGCTCCGCTTTGTCTGCAGCTTAGTTGACAAACTAATTTCCATTCAAAAGCTCTTGCTCCAAACATCAAAGTTTTCCTTATCTCCCTCAGTTGGTTACAACGAAACCAACGACAGTTTATTTCGTTTTCCGTATTCAGTAGCTTATACAATCTACATTTTCTCTTCAGTCTAGACGATTCTATAAGATTCCAAGCTATAATGGGTTTGTTGAATCTTCATGGACTCACATTTTGGAATCGCCTCCTTGCAGTCAACGTACTTTGTAAGTACACAATTTGGCTTTAATCTTTGTACATTTTTGCCGTGGTTTATGTCTGAACTATCTGAAAATGATTTAAACCAATCTTCGCTCAAAGCTCTGGTATATACACACACAAACCACTAACATTGCAGAATACTCCCACTGATGACACTGGGCTTCAGTTGAGCGAAATATTGCATATAGCGGCCTTGCATATATAGTTTTATATGCTTTAATTTACTCTTTCAAAATAATAGAAGTTTATTTTGACTCAAGCATGTTAACAAAACGGTTGTAATTCAATATACTTCTCCAGTGTTTTGTGGGCAGTTACAAACTTTCATAAAAAGATGTGCAGTTGAAACCGTCACTTCTAACCCCTTGTGCATAGTTTAAGCTATAAGGTATTAGTTGATTTAAAAAAGGCTTATTTCGACTTTGTTTAGTATAAACGTATGACTCACGAACTCGCCCTGTATATAGGCTGTTATACACAAAAAGACGCACGGTCTAAAACCCGTTATCTTTATATATTACTATAGTTTGGCCTGTAAATTTACTTCATCTATATCGAACTTGTTAACAAAACAGTAAACTCTTAGAACTTACGAGTTGACGGCCCAGGCTCAAGGCTTAAAACATCTCCGATATAATGTGACTGAGGTTTCGACATCGTTAGCGGACTCAGGCTCGACGGTAACATAACTGAAATGTCTGTATATATAAACACACTTTATCACTGTTGCTGTGAAAAACTTCACAAATGATTTTCTAGTATACGCTTTGGTCTTGAGCGGTGGTTTGTCGCGTTTTAGTCGCCAGTCTTGAACAGATCACTTGCATGCGCTCGTAACGTATAGCTTTACTAAATGCAAAAATAGGCGTACCCCGATTTATATAACGCGGCCCGCGCAACCGCAGGTGTACGAGATCACGGCGCGATGTTCTTACTGGCCTTCGCACATACTGTTTCCTACTGTAGTAATCCCGCGTAAATATGAACAATGACATTTTGATTAGAAAGTCAAACGTCTATGTAGTATGCTATGTAATGATCACTTCATGCACCTGCACGTTCATAGAGTTATATGTTTTTGTATTGTGTGAGGGCAATGGTTTATATTAAAGAATGGGCATCGAACAAATATAATATACAGAGATAAGTAACAGGCGCTCTTTAATTGATATTTTATGTGCGCGTTTAGCTGATTGAGACATTTTATATGAAATTGAAATTTGTATGTTGAATATATAGACATTGAAAAAAGATTATATATCAACGCTTAAATATATAACAGAAGTAAATGGCGCTTTTTAGTTTTTTTGTGCGCGTTTATATTTTATAATACTTAGACTTATTCTAAAACTTTCCCTTATTTTGAAAACACTTTAGTTTATATAAAATGAGCTTATTTAATATTATAGAAAGATTATAGTAACTCATGGATGCGTGCTTTAGTACATGAGATTTTATATGATATGCGCCTTCATGTTTGAGCTAGCCGTACATATATTTTACTTGAAATTAGAATTTTTCAAAAACTTAGGTAAAGAATGAACATGAGCAATATCCATAACGCGTTTAATATGTGCGCGCATTTAGACTTGATACAGAATTACAATTTTTCCAAAATTCACCTGAAAATATATTATATAAGTTAGTATAGCCCATTACGGCCATTAGTTTACATATAAAAGGATGATCGTCAAACAAGTAGAATTAATAGGAAAGACTGTTTAATTAAAATTTTATATGCGCGCGGCTAGTTTAAAGATATTTTACATGAAATTAGTATATTTCTAAGCTTCATAGAATGGCATATTGCTCAAATGTATAGATAGACACGTCAAATGTAAACTATGATAACGAACGCGTAACTGATTTTTTCATGCGCACTTTATTGCCATACATATCATAGTTTATATGAAATTTGAGTATTTTGTTATAACTTACGTACAATATATGAAGTATATTATAGTCTAAAGATTGTATAAAAGTGTCCGATTTCAATTTATTGATTTGAATGCGGATTATTTGAATCAAGACGCGTTTTACAGTATATGTTCTAAGATGTGAAATATGAAAAGTTAGAGCAGTACGAGGCACTTTTAATTATGTGCGCTTTCTTTCTATAGTTTCTAATTTATGGAAGTTAATGTCTAATTTTATTTTCCAATGATAATGTAAAACATTTTGAGTTTGAAAGAATGAAAAAGTATTATAAAAATTTCATCTCGAATTGCATGTAATAGTTATTACCCATTCGGATTAAACTTTTCAGTATATGGCACATGGTAATATTTTAACATATTGCACTCATGTCTGTGGGTATTAAATATCTATATTTGTAAACTTTTCATGTAAAAAAATGAGGTCAGCCGGTGTATTAAGATTAAGACAGCTCAAGTAATAATCAATCGTTCATTACGGTGAAATGACAGTTTAATGGCAGTCTGTAGTTTTGTTAACACATATACATTCGGCCTTTTTAATCTACAAAGTTTAACATGTATATTAAAAACTAAGTTCAACATGGCAATTTATCTCGCATAAAAAATCTAATGAAATCGCATATATTGCGCTGAATATCCCGACTAACTTTATTTATACTGGACAGCTCTATCAGTTCTAAACTGTTCTCAGTCCTAGAAGTCCAGTAATGGCTGAAGCCGTAAGGGCCGTCCTCTATCGATCCAGTGTTACTAGGAGTGGCGTGAGAAACCCCCATGGAGTTTGAGTGAAATAAAACTGGACTCTTCTCCCTTATGAATTGTAATTAGAAAACTGCATATCGAAGCTCGCGCATGCATAAAGATGCACGTCGGTACACAAACCAAGCCGTTTATTAGAAATTTTGTTGTAATCAAAAAGCAAACTTTATATTACACTTGAAGCAATAAGCCACGAAAACAAACAATCAATATCGCGCGGAGTGTGAACGTATTCAAATGTCAGCCATTGTTTGCTTCGATGTCTCAATATCTCTTGCGAATTAAGGCTGCGCGCATTTACGCGCCGACACGTTAATTCCGCATTATGTCGTTGTTAACACTTAACTTGAATACCTTGGAGCGATTGGAAATAATTACTATGACATTATTGATAATCTAGTGTAAAACAAATAAAATACACCCTTGGTTAACTGCAGCTGTCGTGGGTTGATATATATATATATATATATATATATATATATATATATATTCTATATATATATATATTCTATATATATATGTTGTGTTATTTCACTATGATAAGGAGAAAATATCATAATTTCCAGACAGCGCGCAAGCAGAAAGATATTGCCCGCCGCGACTGGGTTACGAACCCACGACCTTCGAATTCCTAGATCGATGCTCTACCAACCGGATCTATACGTTCAGACGGATTAAAGATTAGAAATCCGATCTGTCCTGACCGTGAATTCGAGCCGTCCTGACCGTGTAGCTCAGTTGGTAAGCATCGATCTGGTATGGTTCGAAGCCCAGCCGCGGCAGGCAAAGTTTTCTGCTTGCGCGCTGTCTGGAAATTATGATAAATCTCACTAGCTGGAGAACATTTTCTACTTATCATATTACCGGGTAACAATAACACGACATTATATAACACTTGCAGAACTAATATTGTTCGATGCTGAAGTTGCGTAAAATTGAATTCACTGCCTGAAAACGCGTTTCGGTTCATTAATTTTTGCTTCACACCAAATAGATTTACTAAATAAAAAATATAAATTGCTCCTTTTCGGCCAGTATGCCGACAACATCTGAACATTTTGAAAAAAATTTGTTTGGTTAAAAATTTAATGAATTTTGACACTAAAAAGTGAACAACGCCTAGCTCGGGGGCTACAGCATTCGTGCAGAATTTACATATTCGAAATTTTATCAGATCCTTAAAATTTGTTTCATTCAGAATTCTGGAAAACAAATTCATAAAGAACTGTTATATTTTACAAAATGCAAACTCTATATCCTATTACTGGATTTTTCATTAATGTTTCAAAAGCATTATACAGAAACATAAAAGTAAATATCTCAAATAATCATGCATTTTTACTCTGTCCTGCGCATATAGAAGAAAAGTGATTATTTGCGCAAGCTATTTTCTATATACGTGTTATACTGTGTATATGAAATTTGGATCGGTTATAATTTAGCGAGCTCTCTACATCATTATAAATATATAAATATATGTCTTTTAACATAAATAGAGTTGTTAGCTAAAGCCATGAAAACATCTGCCATAGAGTACAATGAATAAAACGGGCAGCTAATTGTCATAGATGATTTTATAATCAGCAATCAAGTCTAGATTTCAAAACATTCGTTCAGTCTAACAACAAAACCCACGAAGAATACTAACAGTTTAGACAAGAAAATGTCAGCAATTTAGTTTGAAAAATGTGAAAAACGCTCGTCTCCTAAGGAATGGCTGCCTATTTCCGCATATGTATAATTAATGCTGTTTAACCTTTTGAATTTTGTGTATATTTTGTGTATATATTAATCCTCTCGCTATTAATTTTGCTCAAGTCGTTAATGATACCTAAATCCCTCTTTAACACTCTCGATTTCTGCAACGACCTTGAGCTGGGCTTCCCTTGAATTATTGAATTGAATTTTTCTTATTAAATATTGCTCAAAAACAGTTTAGCGATCATAACAAAATTTATCGTATATTAGGGACCCACCGCAGTTTTATAAATGAGTTTTAAAACTGCCCAAAATCAATTTCAACTATTTTTTATATTAGATGAAAATTCCTTGCGGGAAGGCGCTTTCGTATACAGTCGTCAAAATTAAATTTTACAGCTTGTTTTTTAAATTGAGAAAGAACCGTTTCAAGGAAAATCAATTTGAAAGGAGATGTCTTTCAATACCACTACACTATACTAGGAAGTTTACGCTTTTGAGAATCTACCACAAAGGATCGTGCGCTTAATATATGCCGCTTATATAATATTTAGCAGAAACAGTCCGATCATGAACCGTCAATTATAGCAATTTTCCCCAAAGGTAAAAAACTTCTATCCACGATACATGTGAATAAAAAAAACAAAATAAAAATGCCTAGTTAAATTGTGCCACTATATATGTTAGAAGACCCCAAAGACCGATTTGCACCACACAACTTTTGCCTAAAACTGTCGCTGATGCAACCTGCTTACAACTTGAGTTGTACTGTGTAAATCAAGCACACAACTCACCTGCATTGTCGTAGGCGAGTTGTAGACTTGATTTACACAGTACAACTCAAGTTGTAAGCAGGTTGCATGCGACAGTTTTAGGCAAAAGTTGTGTAGTCTCAGAATCGGCCTCAGTTAACTATAAAGACGCGCAAACATTTCCGGCTATTTTTTGCGCATGCTGCTGAGACGCGGTGTCATTAACGCGACAGGCTGCGTGAAACAGCTAAATTTAATGATTTGTTTTACCTAACACTATGCGATCGAGCTCACAGTTAAAACACCGGTCACGCAGTTATTTTATCCTCATTGAAATACACGATGTTAGCAAGGCAAACTAATCTGTGAGACTCATCTCAAATTTTAACGTGTCAAATCGAATTAGCGCATTCACCAATGAGAATGAGCGCGAGTGCGTCTGTGCGGGCGGCTGTTTTTGCGCGTATACCACTAAATTGAGCGCAGATGAAGTTTTAAATGCTGTTTTTTA